CTATAACAAGATGTTATAATACTTGTTCCAGCCGGGAATAACCTGGTACTAGTAGCACAAAAGAATGTTTTGTATTCCTGTACTTGATTATGCATCCTTTGTACTTTTGTAAGGTTTCTAATAAAAAAATATAAAAAAAAATGCTGACTACGAGTGATACCACATGGGCTCAGTACTTGGCAGGCTCGTCTGTGATTGGTTAATGAACCAAAGTACCCTGTTCGCTGATTGGGAGGCAGCTTATATGGGAATGTGTACATATGTTGAATAAAGTGTAACATACTCTTTGCATGCCACGGTGTGTGTTTCAATAGGAAGCAAAACGAAGGAATGGAACAAGAATAGATGAAGTAGAAATCAGAACTACGGCAAAAGGTATGATAAAAAGGGAAGAAGGGGAGAGGGAAGAAAAGGAGAGATTCATCACAGTTTTTGCGCCTGATGGTTGTGAGGGAAGGACGTCATGACTGTGAGTCAGCTCAAAGGGGCCAACAGCCGGGAAAAAACAAAAACTGCTCCACATTGTCAGGACTATTGTTGTGGGGTTTAGGGAGCTGGTGGTGGTGGTGGTGGTGATGGTGGTGGTAGTGGTAGTGGTGGTGGTGATGATGATGGTGGTGGTATGGTGGTGGTGGTGGAGGTGATGGTGGTGGTGTGGTGGTGGTAGTGGTGGTGGTGATGATGATGGTGGTGTTGATGGTGGTGGTGATGGTGGTGGTACGGTGGTGGTACGGTGGTGGTACCGGTGGTGGTGTGGTGGTGGTGTTGCTGGTTAGTAGTGATAGGAATGTCTTTTGTGACCACTTTAGTTTGCACGAGAGCAGAGGCGTCCTCTCTCTCTCTCTCTCTCGTGACTACTCACATTATCATTAATGATAATGTGAGTAGTCACGAAAGCGCTTGGAATTTCTCTATTCTTTCAGAGTGGTTGTTTTGCATATATATATATATATATATATATATATATATATATATATATATATATATATATATATATATATATATATATATATATATATATATATATATACTCAGATGGCTACTACTGTACAGTTAATCACTTTGTAGTTTATTATTATCTGATTATTCGTTAATTAGTTATGTAAAAATAATATTTTTTTATCATAAACAACAAATTAGTTTTTTTTTGGATTTTTATTACGAGTATCATTTTGTAATAATTGTTGATATATGGTTTTCCCATTAATTTTTATTTCATTTTATTGTGTTTCCCTTATTTAAACAAATTTTATAACCAATATGAAATGAATGATGATGAAAGTGTTTCTTTTTTCGGGTCACCCCGCCCTTTGGGGGGGAGGGCGGCCCTGTGTTTTATAATTAATAATAATTTTTTCCCTTAAAACATGTTTAGCCAACATGTTTAAAGTTTTTGTTAACCAAAAATTTTTTTTATTATTAAATCAAGGGGGAAGTGCTAAACCCGGAGGATTATACAGCGCCTGGGGGGGGATGTGGAAGGCATTCAGGCTTAATTCGGGGAACTGGAGCACAGATCCAATTCTCTAAATCAAGAGCCCCTCAGCAACATCAAGGAACCTTCCTTGAGGGGATGTTAACCAAAGCTATGCATAAACAGGAAAAAATATGAATGAGGGTTCGAACCGTGTTTGTCGTACGTAGCGGAGTCAACACTGTACCACTGAGCCACGAAGGTTACAAAAGGATGATTGTTCATAGTGCTTCTCTGATATGTTGGTATCAGCGGCACCAACTGTGACCTTTACTATCTCTCTCATCCCGCAGTTGGCATGAAGCTGGCGTGAAGCTGACATGAAGTTGGCATGAAGCTGGCGTGAAGCTTGCATGAAGCTGGCATGAAGCTTGCATGAAGCTGGCATGAAGCTTGCATGAAGCTAGCATGAAGCTTGCATGAAGCTGTCATGGCTGTAAGGGTATGGCTGTGAGGTTAGGTAAGATTTGTCAGGAAACAGTACCAGTGTTTCCTGACGCGGGTCTTAGTTATATGATGACCCGCAGCTGGAGCTTTTGGTTATCTGACCGAGGCCTTCCACTGGTTTACCTGTCCACCTCTTTAAAAATTATGACGAAGGTATGAGAATAAATGACGAATATCTAGCAGAGGAGGGGCGGGGGCCAGGAGCTGTGACTCGAACCCTGCAACCACGTATACGTAAGCACATATGCTGCAAATAAAGCACACACACACATATGAAGCGGCCAGTGAAGAGGCGGTGCCAGGAGCTATGAATCGACTCCTGCAACCACAACCAGGTGAGTACACACACACACACACACACACACACACACAACACACACCACACACACACACCACACACACACACACACACAGGACAGCTGGTATAGTCACAAATATTTATTAGCGCTTCTCTCACTCTGTTCTTCATTACTTTCACAAATATCAATATTGTTCCCCGTTCCTCCTCCTCGTCTTCCTCCTTTTCCTCTTCCTTTTCCTCTCTTCCTCCTTCCCCCTTTTATCCTTCTTACACCCGTTACCTCGTACCTCCCTCCTTTATATCTCCTTTCTCCCTGCCACATCCCCTCCCCCTCCTACCCTGCTGTCCCCTCCCCCTCCTACCCTGCTGTCCCCTCCCCTCCTACCCTGCTGTCCCCTCCCCCTCCTAACCTGCCGTCCCCTCCCCCTCCTAACCTGCCGTCCTCTCCCCCTCCTCACATGCTGTCCCCTCCCCTCTTCACCAGCCGTCCCTCCCTTCCTTACCGGCCCTCCCCTCCCTTTCCTCACCTGCCGTCCACTCCCCCTCCTCACATGCCATCCCCTCCCCCTCCTTACCTGCCCTCCCCTCCCCTTCCTCACCTGCTATCCCCTCCCCTCCTCACCAGTCCTCCCTTCCCCTTCCTCACCTCTCCTTTACTCCTCTTCACCTGCCTACCTCTCTCTCTCTCTCTCTCTCTCTCTCTCTCTCTCTCTCTCTCTCTTCTCTCTCTCTCTCTCTCTCTCTCTCTCTCTCTCTCTCTCTATTCACCTTTCTCCCTCTCCCTCTTCATCTGCCCACGCCTTCTTTTCCTCATCTTCCTCCCGCCTGCCCTCCCCTTCCCTCCCCTCCTCCCATGCCCCTCCCCTCCTAGACTCCTCCAGCAGTAAACACATCGTAAGCAACATGTTATTTGGTTCAGAAAGCCTGTAATAACATCCTCATATGAGGTCCATGTGTTGTTTTAGTGGAGTGCTGCCATCTGTGAGGGCTGCCATCTGTGAGGGCTGCCATCTGTGAGTGCTGCCATCTGTGAGGGCTGCCATCTGTGAGTGCTGCCATCTGTGAGTGCTGCCATTTGTGAGTGCTGCCATCTGTGAGTGCTGCCATCTGTGAGTGCTGCCATCTGCGAGGGCTGCCATCTGTGAGGGCTGCCATCTGTGAGTCTCAGCACTAGTAATGCCAGCAGTATTTTGGATGATATTTCAAAGCTGGTAGTAATATGGTTGTTGAGAATTAAACCCTGTTTAAGGATAGTTGAAAGATGTCCAATGGCTCAGTTGGTAGCGCACTCGGCTCACACACTGTGGGTTCGTGGTTCAATTTCTGGGACGAGTGGAAACACTGGGTGTGTATTCTTACACTAGCTGAATAAATAAAGACAAGCGTGCTTACCAAAGTATTTTACGTGGCAGAATTTTTTTCTGAAACATGTGTAGAAGCTACGGCTTCGGTCAGATGACCAAAAGCTCCAGTGGCGGGTCATTATATGACTGAGACCCGCGTCAGGAAACACTTGTCCTGTTTCCTGACAAACCTTACCTAACCTTAGGTAAATGTACCTGAGACGGCAGAAGAATATTATTTTAATGGTAGGTGGCACCATGGTATTGTTATCTGCCAAAGGCACAAGAACGGCAAACATACCTGTAAACACAGTCGTGCAGGTCAATGTAACCACGTAGGCACACAGATTTACATTTAAACTAATGTATAAACATGCAAACATACGTATTAAGAGTTTGTAGGTAAACAGGTAAACAGGCAGATCACCCTCTATACTGTTCATCTATCTTCCAGTCCAAGATTATCTTCTCATTGTGTTGCCATTATCAAGGTCTCTCATCATGATAACTAAGTCTCATCTTTAATATGATTCTCAGTATTATTTCCTCATCAGTTTTCATGTGTTCTCTACAGTGTTTTCTATTTCTTAATTCATGGGGGTCACACCTTAGGGTCACACATTTCCACTCTCTTGCGTTACGGTCCCTGATCAGGTCTTCTTTCTTGGTGTATATTTTGGAGTATATTGAAGCCAAGCCGCCACTTGGAGAAACACTTCCAGGTACGAGACTCATCAGTGAAAGAGGTCAACACAGTGTTGTTAGCATAGTTAGCTCGTATTTGAGTTGTGAGACTTAGTTCTGTGGATAGTCCTGTAGTTAAGAAGCAAGAGCAGGTGCAATCACAGCAGTTGCAGCAGAGGAAGTTGTAGTGAAATCCTTTAATTCACTCTTACCTTATCTGTTAATTTTAGTATGGTATGGTGTGTCCCCCCTCTATCATACTGACACCCGCAAGGAGTGGAGTGCGGGAAGAGAGCCTTCTGTTTCACTGTCCTTGGTCAGCCAACTAGATGATAACAGATAGTCCTCAGGCGAGGTAGTACTTGACAGTTCTTAAGTGAGGTAGTAGAGATAGTTCTTAAGCTGATAGTCTTCTACAGATAGCCTAGACGTGAATTTAAGAGTACAAGAGCTAGGCAGATATCGGAAATGTCTGCCTAGATCTTGTACTCTCGTCTTCATAAAAAACAAAACCTCAGCATGTATACTGTGGAAAATTTGCTATAATTTTCCTATAATTAGTAGTGTGTATGTAAAGTGTTAATATAATGTAATGTAAATACGAAGTATTAATGGTTTATCTAGAGTTTACCTAGAGAGGGTTTCGTTTGGTAGTTACAAACTACCAAACTACTTGTGAGGAAGAGAGTGAGTGCTTCCAAATGAGTGGGGGAGGAGGCTTGTGTAGATGTCAGAGGGCAGTGTTGGTGAGACCCGTGTGGAAGGCTGACAACTGGTCTTCTCGGCTTTTTATTTGACCCTAGGGTAGTCATAAAAAGAAAACTGAATCTGAGGAGTAATGCCCGGGTAGCCGTCTGGAGAAGTAGTGTTGGCTCTCAAGGAATTGGAAATCGGCCGAATCTTTAAATGAAATTAATGTGTAATAGAAGGGGTGTCGTCAGAAATTGATGAAGTTTAAACCACGCGTAATGTAGTATGCCTTCCAGTGTACTAATTTTCACTACAGGTATGTTAATTTATATTGGCTAATATGAAATGCCTACCGAAAGGGAGGAGTTAGGATATGACACCAAAATCTTAATTTGGTGAGTAATATTGAAATGTCCTTTATACTTTTTTGATCATGCAATTGATTTATATTTGAAATTATCCAAGCAAATTACTCCGGTCAAATAACTGATATATATAGTCCACACATATGTCAGTGTTACTGGCATAATTTTTTCACATAATTTTAAGAACTATATGCTGTAACAATAATTTCAGGTCCAGATGTATGAGACGTGATGACCTGAGAAGATGGTCACGAAGGTGAGATATTATTGTGACCTGGTGACCTTAAAGTCCCACTTGACTCTGAGCTACATCAATATCAGTAAGTGTAAACTGTCTGATGTACCAAACACAATTATGGGGGTGAAATAATTCAGGACATTGCTTGTAATTACCCGCATAATTTCTCACATATACAATATTGTGGGTCGTCTTCGGAAAAGGTTCAGATCTCGTGTCTCTCAGAGCTTCTCTAATTATCATTTTTATGGTTGAGGTTGATTGTTCTGGACTCTTTCTATTTTCTGTCTTTGTGATCGTCTGTTTTCTTTGTATTTTTTCCCTCTTCCCGACTCGCCTACTCGCAAGATTCTTTCTTTCATTTTTCTTTAGTTATATTTTATTCTTTCCATTTACTTCCGAGTAAACAATATTCAGATAACATACACGTTGGAGACTGAAACGTGTCACGACATTTCGGTCCGACTTGGATCATAATTAATTAGTTAATGACTAGTTAAAGGTCCAAGTCAGACCGAAAAGCCGTCTTGAGTCTGGTCTCCTGTGTGCGGGTCAGTTGCGTATTTTTTATCTCTTTTATCTTAGTTATTGTAGCTTCTGTCGAGGTTCAGGAGCTGCATCGGACCGATCAATGAGGCAGCTAAATCAACCATAGCATGAGTGGTAGAGGTGGATGGTTTAGTGGTAGAGGTGGATGGTTGTGTTAGTGGTAGAGGTGGATGGTTGTGTTAGTGGTAGAGGTGGATGGTTGTGTTAGTGGTAGAGGTGGATGGTTGTGTTAGTGGTAGAGGTGGATGGTTGTGTTAGTGGTAGACGTGAATGGTTGTTAGTGGGAGAAGTGGATGGTTGTGTTAGCGATAGACGTGAATGGTTGTTAGTGGTAGAAGTTGATGGTTGTGTTAGTGGTAGACGTGAATGGTTGTTAGTGGTAGACGTGGATGGTTGTGTTAGTGGTAGACACAGAGGGTTGAGAGTCATGGTAGAACTGGTAGCAACCATAAGTAGCATCGCTGCTCCACACGGCTCTCTGAGTGACGGTGGTGCAACACAAATGACTTAAGATATAAACATCACTAATTTAGTAGAGGAAGTTGGAGTCCACATCTTCCAATAAGTTCATTCTCTCCCAATCATTTTTTTTTCCAGCGTGGCTTAGCATATTTTTCTGAGATTTTTAATGTTTCAAGCATTTTTAAAATATATTGAAAACCAGCTTCCAAAAAAAGACGCAATTTAGCTTACTTTTAACATAAAATTTAATTGCTTGAGGGCGGAAAGAGAGCCTTCTGCTTTTCTTTCAGTCATACACCTAGATAATGTATGATAGCCCTAAATTCAGCAGATAGTCTCCGTGTGGACTTCCAAGTCCCCCGCTATCTGTGTTTCCCAGGTGCTTCCATATATATGTTTTTTTTTTCCTAATTTTGCAAATTGTCTTTTATCAACTCATAATTCTTCAGTTTTTCATCTCTTCTCCTATCCTAGTTACTCAGTTTTTACCTCCGTTTTTTCTATTTTTTGCGCTGTATGTGTGTCTATTGTGATCTGTATTGTTGTGGATACCTTCTGTGTGAGTCTGGGAGGACAATGAAGGCTTGGATGGTATTAACCTGGCATTGTTGCTTGTGTACCTGCCCTAGTCTGGCTCTAATGGGATGGCAGGAAGAGAGAGAGAGAGAGAGAGAGAGAGAGAGAGAGAGAGAGAGAGAGAGAGAGAGAGAGAGAGAGAGAGAGAGAGAGAGAGAGAGAGAGAGAGGAGAGAGTGTACTGACAGGGGAGTTAGCAAGCTTCTCAGACCTCGTGTGCAACATGCTATATTGCGTCTTTTCAAAATTTACATAAAAGACGATGATAATGTGAAGATGGTTGACAGCCTGTCGACGCAGCTCGTAACAAATATATCTTGCAGCAAGAATAACAAAAATTAATCTTTTTTTTTTCTTAGCTGACAAATTTTGTATATATGACAAATGATGATGATGATGATGATGATGCTAATAATAATAATAGTCAAAATTAATAATATTTTTATTTACTCGGAACATTGTTACATTTACTTGCATGGAGAGCTCTAAATCCGTGTGGGTTATTCCTTGTAATCCGGCGTGGTGAAGTGTCGATACTCAGTCTGCTGAACTTGAGACACTGCAACTACTGACCTGCTTCGGCGTGTGCTACAAGGACTTGTAACCCCACGAGGACTTGTAACTACACGAAGGTTTGTAACTACACACGAGTATTTATAAATACGTGAGGACATGTAACTGTACGTGGTTGAGAGTGACCGTATTAAGCTAAGTTAAGTGTTCAGTGGCTCTTGAGAGTCTAGAGCTCTCACTGAAAATAATGACATAGATTGTCCCTTTCTTCTTATTATTTATTATTATTATTATTATTGTACTATTATTATTATTATTATTATTATTATTATTATTATTATTATTATTATTATTGTACTATTATTTTTGGTTGGAGTAAAATAGTTAAGAACTTGGATTTGTTGCAATCCGTGCCATAACTGGGGAACGACTCATCTGATCGGCTTCAAATTTTGAGCAATGGTTTGTTGAAAATATTAACTTATTACTGGGGTATTAACTAAATACTGGGGTATTAAGTTAATACTGGGGGTATTAAGTTAATACTGGGGTATTAAGTTAATACTGGGGTATTAAGTTAATACTGGGGGTATTAAGTTAATACTGGGGTATTAATAATGGGGTATTAAATTAATACTGGAATATTAGCTTAAAACTGGGGTATTAACTTAATACTGAGATAATAACTGTTCCACTGTTAGAGACAAGAAGTTATAACCTGTCAAAACAGTTTTCTTATCTTCCATTAACTTCCGCCAGAGGCGCTCGTCCTTATCCTCTGAACGACTAATCTCATCACCAACTTTTCAACCCCGGTGAGCTATAAGTAAGGAAAAGTTGGTGAAATATGTGGAGGTGAACTCTGCCCAGTTGTACGTTGGGGTCCTTCCCGATTCTGTTGTCCGTGTAAAATTACATTAGAAAACTCTTCTGGTGGCCTTCACAGCTGCAACACTCGCCTGGAACACTGTTGACGTTCTTCATGGAGCTGCAACACTCGCCTGGAACACTGTTGACGTCCTCATGGAGCTGCACACTCGCTGAACACTGTTGACGTTCTTCATGGAGCTGCAACACTCGCCTGGAACACTGTTGACGTTCTTCATGGAGCTACAACACTCGCCTGGAACACTGTTGACGTTCTTCATGGAGCTACAACACTCGCCTGGAACACTGTTGACGTTCTTCATGGAGCTACAACACTCGCCTGGAACACTGTTGACGTTCTTCATGGAGTGTGTGGGTGTCATTCTGTTAATTGCGAAATGGTTCAGCAGTATTTTCTGTTAAGCCCCTGGAGTAGGCTTCGTCTGAGTGGCTTCGGTCTTTTAAGGGCTGATACATATTCAGGTCAAAACAAAATAAAAATTTATATTTGTGTAGTTTATATGTAATAAAATATTGAATATGAAAACGGTGTACAGTACAGAGAGGTTAGTTGAGGTTTGTCAGGAAACAGGACAAGTGTGTCCTGAGGCGGGTCTTAGATGATGACCCGCCGTTGGAGCTTCTGGTCATCTGATCGACGCCTTCCACTGGCTTACAGGTCCACCGCTTTAAAAATTATCGTCATAGTTATAACCATTTTGCCGACATGTTGGTAAGACATGTGCAACAGGTAGGTATGTTTATTCCGAAACGTTTCGCCTACACAGTAGGCTTCTTCAGTATGGTACAAAAGAGTAAGTAGAAGCAATAGAGATTTGAATATGATGTAATCAGTCCATCACCCTTGCAGACGTAGTTTTGAGGTGGTCAGTCCCTCAGCCTGGAGAAGAGTTTTGTACCATAGTCTGGAACAATGTTCATACCTTTGATATATACCTTTGAGTTTTCTGCTCCCGGAGGCCGGCCATGGGCCAGGCTCGTCTACTGCTTGCCTGGTCAACCAGGCTGTTGCTGCCGGTCCCCTCAAGGGAGGTTCCTTGACGCTGGCGAGGGGTTCTTGATCTAGGGAATTGGATCTGTGCTCCAGTTCCCTGAATTAAACCTGAATGCCTTCCAAACCTCTCCTCCCAAAGATGCTGTATAATCCTTACAGGTTTAGCTCTCCCCAATGATAATGTTGCTGCTGGTGGCCCGGTGACCCTGATCACCGGGTGGCGACATCTGGCTGTCCTCCAGAAACTGTAACAAACTTGTATGTTTGGTTTCCAGAGTCTTAATAAAACCAACTAAACCTTAATTACTGGTTAGTTTTGCTTAGAGAAACTTTTGGATTGATTTTGGCTTATGAATGTTTTAAATTGCCTTAATTGAAGAAATTGAAAGAATTGAAATACTGGTTTTGATATGGTAATCTGCGAGTTCCTCATCCGACCGACTTCAACTTCTTAATGAAAAATTTGAGCGGTTTTAAACTTAATGTTAGTCTTGTGTGGGATGCTGACGTGTGAGGTAACTACAGAATGCCTCTTCAGTTTGGCTTTAAACTTTTAAAGCTGGTCTTTTTCTTGGTAGAAAGTTTGAACTTGTGTTGGGCTGTGTGTCTCCTGGTGTGTCACGCTTTATTAGGGAAACTGGAAAATTAGTTTCCATGTGATAGCTTGTCAGTGCTTAAAATCTTCAACACTATTATTGAGCTGCATTTGCGAATTTATGCCGCACTCTGCACTATGCTTTTCGCTTGCATTAAAGTAGAGGGGACTGGGGTTATTCTATACGGGGGTACTTGTATCGTGCAGCAACCACATACATTTAATTATTATTATTATTATTATTATTATTATTATTATTATTATTATTATTATTATTATTAAGCATTCCTAGTGGAATATATATGCTGGCGTGGAGCACTTCTAACTAAAGGGAATTACACGTTAATTGAATAATATGCGAACTGAACACCTGGGTGGATATTCTCTCTCTCTCTGCGCTGTATAGCCCTTGTGGTTTAGCGCTCTTTTTTATTATAATTCTCTCTCGCACTCTCTCGCTCTGTCTTTTTTTTTTACACAGGGTTTGACAAGGTTAAGGATCCCTAGCTTTATTGACAGCTATATTACAGGTTAAGGATTCCTAACTTTATTGACAACCTAAGAGCTGTTACCTACATCAGCTCATTTGAAAGCATTTTTATTGTTATGAGACATACAAGTAGGAAACAGGATGAAGTTGGAGCCATCTGTGGGCCAGCATTTTCATTTGATCAACTGACTTTATCTCGTTGACATCATTATGCTGTACGAATGTGTTCCATACTGGAGTCATCCTGGGTATGTATGATCTCAGATGGAGTGATGTTCTGGGGAAGGGTACCCCTCAAGGAAGGTTCCTTGATGTTGGTGAGGGGCTCTTGATTTAGGGAATTGGATCTGTGCTCCAGTTCCCCGAATTAAGCCTGAATGCCTTCCACATCCCCCCCCCAGGCGCTGTATAATCCTCCGGGTTTAGCGCTTCCCCTTGATTATAATAATAATAATAATGGGGAAGGGTACAGCCAGAGTGAAGTTGCTGCTTTCTGCCCGTCTTGTGGCATAAAAGCTTGTTTCACGCTGTCCTCGAAGTGGATCTCTCTCTCTCTCTCTCTCTCTCTCTTTCCTGCTCTTCCTCTACTTGTGTTTCTAGCCGTCTTGTCCATCCTTATCTCTTCGTTTTTATTTCCCTGTCCTCCCCTCAAGGAAGGTTCCTTGATGTTGGTGAGGGGCTCTTGATTTAGGGAATTGGATCTGTGCTCCAGTTCCCCGAATTAAGCCTGAATGCCTTCCACATCCCCCCCCCAGGCGCTGTATAATCCTCCGGGTTTAGCGCTTCCCCTTGATTATAATAATAATATTTCCCTGTCCTACTTATCATCTCGTTCTGCCTCATCATTCCTCTTTTTTTCTCTCTCCTGTTCATGCTCCTTTTCTTTTTTCTATAATCGTCATTTTCCTCCTGTTAGTCCAGTTCTTCCTTCTGTTCATATTTATCATTCTCTCTCTCTCTCTCTCTCTCTCTCTCTCTCTCTCTCTCTCTCTCTCTCTCTCTCTCTCTCTCTCTCCCCTCTCTCTCTCTCTCTCTCTCCCTTCTTACGTTTCGACTTTCTCTTACTCTTCTTCCCAATATTCCTCTTCTTTTTCTTCTTGATGCTTCTCTTCTCTCTTCTATCAGTTTTCTTCTCCCTCCTAATCTTAGTCCTCTTTTTTGCCCTAATATCCATCTTCTCCATTCTCTTCTTAATCCTCATCTTCTTAATATTCATGTTTCTCTTCTTCCTAATATTCTTCATCATCTTCCTAATATCCCTCTTCCTTGTCCTCTTCTTCCTACTGTCCCCTCCCAGCATCCTCTTTTCCTCTCTCCTTGGTGCGTCTTGGCTAAGTCAAGATAGAGGCAGGAGAGGCGGATGTTTTGCATGGTAATGTTGTCTTGGGGTGAGGTGCTGGGCTGTGCTGCCATCTACGTCAACCAAAATTTGCGTTTTAGAACGGAAAGATGTGTTTGTCCGTCAAGGAGGTGAATTGTGATCAGTATTGAGAGTGGCGGTGCTGGAATGGAGGTGCTGGAATGGAGGTGCTGGAATGGAGGTGCTGGAATGGAGGTGTTGGAGTGTTTTATCTCCTCTCACAACATCAGAGGCTGTGATCACCCATCCAGTTATTGGCTAGAGACAAACTCTACTGAACCTCACTGATCACGACACCTGGCCGGTCACCTTTAAAAAATATAGAACGACGCGAAGATAATACAAATGAAAATGATGGAGGAGGAAAAATAAGAAAACAGTCTATCTATCTTTATCTATCACAGCTGTTGATAGCTGCCTATGGAAACTTCTCCTCTGGAAGCCTTTTATGTACAACTTGTTTGGTGCCTTTGTCCAAAGTTGTTGAGATCTCTTGTCAGTGTTGGTGACTCCTGTGTGTGGCGATAAGACGCCAGGTATCTCTCTCTACATTTTACTTATAACTCAAGCCGTACATTCATACACACAAACATACAAGTCAGTCATACATATACATCCTGCATTCACTGTCACAAAAGAGGGAGTCAGAAATACTCAACAATTCTCTTATAATATTTATTGACAAAATCCAGGTAGTGGTGGGGAGGGAGGGAGTTTATCTCGCTGTCGTCTCCTCTAGTCGCTATTGTGGCTTCGTTTAACAGCACTCGTTAAACACCTCACTTAACGGGGAAAAAATCTAACTCTGGTTGTTACCTTGGCGTATTGTCTGTTGATATTAAAAAGATCATGAGTATTTTAAAGTGGAAAATTTCATTTTATTTTTTACGCTTAAAAGAGGTTATCGTCATTATTAGCATTATTAGTGATATATGAATATTTGGGGGAGGGTCGGGGATGGGAGGGGGAGAAGTGGGGGATGGGAGGGGGAGGGTCGGGGGATGGGAGGGGGAGGGTCGGGGATGGGAGGGGGGAGAGTGGGGGATGGGAGGGGGAGGGTCGGGGATGGGAGGGGGAGGGTCGGGGATGGGAGGGGGGAGAGTGGGGGATGGGAGGGGGAGGGTCGGGGATGGGAGGGGGAGGGTCGGGGATGGGAGGGGGAGGGGGTATTAGAGCTCAAATCAACTCCCCGGAAGCTCCACGAGGAACACAAACACACACATGTGGCACAAGAGAAGTTTATCTTTGACAACATTGCTGCGCTCTTAAAAAAAAAATGAGCGTCAAGACATGGCCTAGTTAAGCTCTTCATAAAACTCTTGATTAAACTCTCCATAAAGAGAGAGGTTTTTTTCCTCTTGGAGAAATAAATGACCTCATAAATAACTGGTCTAAAATATCCACATGAAAATCTCTCATGTCTTCGTCTTCAGACCTGTGACCGGCACTTGCTCAGCCACATCCCCATATTTTACACACCCAATGATTGTGTCAGTGATGTGATGCCACACAGGCGACTAGCGACATAGCAGTGATTGTCAAAACACCTAGAAGCCGGTCACCTTGAACCTAGAACCCCGATCACCTTGGTTAACTCTGCCTCCAAGGTGCAGGTCTCTTCAACCACCTACAAGAGTCTAGGTCCTAGACTCTTGTTTACATATTAATTATAACCTGATACCGCGTTATCGACGGTGATTT